ACATTCGTATCTGGGGCGTCAACAACAATGATCCCGCACAGGCATGGAACCGTCGTCGTCGCGCTCAAGAGGGTGCGAAGAGAATGATTGAGACGACAAAGACTATCGTCGCGGAGGCTGACGCTGGACGTCCTCGGGGTATTGGACTGGTATCTGCCGTTGCTAACAGGATCGGCGCCAGATCGTACCTCAAGAAGGACTCACTGCGATCGTGCGGTCTCAAGCTTGTGGAGGAGTTGCTTGCTCAGGGAAATAATGTTGATCAGGTCACGGATAACCTCTGGCTTACTGCCTTTGGTGGTATTGGTGTCCCTGTCACTGCTGTAAGTTGAGTGACAAGATTGAAGATCATGTGCTGATTATGTGTAGTTCTACGAGGTCCTGTCGTTCTTCCTTCGCCCCGAGAATGAAGCTATCTGGGGTGAGGTCCAGGCCATTGCTCAGAAGGGCGATGATGCTGCTCTTCACGCCTACGTCGCTGAAGCTCAGCGCATGACTAGCTCTCAGCGCAACGTCCGTGTTGCGACAGCACCAGGCGAGGTACAAGGCCAAGCCATCCAACCTGGCACCGCCGTCGTTCTCATGCTCGTAAGTTACACTCTCACCTCACAATCGTATCATGTCTAACAATGAACAGGGCGAGGCTGGCCGTAATCCTAAGGAAGTTCCCGACGCGGGCAAGTTCAACCCCCAGCGCAAGAAAGAAGACGTCTCAGCCTTCAGCTACGGCCAACACGAATGCATCGCCAAAGACGTCGCCCTCGCCTTCGTCACAGGCCTCATCAAGCTCGTCGCCGACCTCAAGGAGCTTCGACCTGCGCCTGGACAGATGGGAACTGTCAAGACTATCCAGGTTGGCACCGAGAAGGCTTACCTCAACGATAGCTGGTCATACCTCGGCTTTGACGCAAGCAGTAAGTTTTTGATTCCCCGTGTGTGTAGTAAGGGTGCTAATCATGTGTAGCTTGGAAGGTTCACTTCAATGGGCATGGAAGGGGCCAGTTTGAGGGGGAGAGGGTTCCGACGAAGAGTACCCCTATTCAGGAGTATTATTACTTGCTTCAGAAGAGGAAGGATGAGATTTTGGGGAAATAGGCTTTATTTCCTTTAGTCAGAGAAGTCTTGAATGATTAACGATCGTTATGAATCAGTTATGGAACTCAGTTACCTGTTATCCCTGAGTGACATATGAAACGTTAGTCGTCACTCGGTCACCGACTGTCGCCACCTTGTTCTCATCCGCTTAACAAAGTTCAACAGAGCACCGAGTTAAATTAGCATCACCAAGTCATAGCCGTTGTAGAGTTCCGATACCTGCATCTCCAAGGAGCGCGCTGCCTCCTTAGCTTGAAGGGTCGGTGCTCCCTCACCTCTCGAGGCTTCTCTAGGAGACTGGGGTCTGCTGACTGTCACTGAGCCTGTTATCTTTGTGCATACTTCTATTTTGTGTGACTTAGCTAATCTGGCATGAGTTGATCTGATCTCTAGCATCTCAGCGCCTCCTCCACCTCGTTGTATAATGAGACTCAGGGGTTCTCTCCTGGGGCCATTGCTTCTTCGGAAGACCAATTTGAGCCGCCTATCAGCGATCATGGCTCTTTTATGTTATTCTGGATCCAGTCCGACCAGACGTGACTCTAGTTTGGTCTTGACTCCTGCTTCTGAACGCCCCCGCTACCTTCTTGGAGGCTCCCTCTGTGCTTCATTGATGCTTCAGGACACCTCCGAGTCATCTATCAACGAAACGGAGCTGTACATTCAACCAAGATTCACATCCGAAACTCCATATGGCTACTCAAACTCTCGTTGAGTAGCCCACATGATGCCCAAGAGACCAGGCTCCTCGCACCGCAGACGATGTCAAGCATGATACCCCTAATGGACGAGCGCGCCACCTCTTTTCGAGGGCATTTTGGAGCCTGTAAGGCACTCATTTATATCCTCTAGTTCGCTAAGGATCGGGGCAATTGGAAGCCTATCAATCCAGTTCCTTTTGATCCGGTGGCACTGGATGCTGGCGATGCAGATGCAGACCACGAACGAGACCAAGTTATAGCCCAGGCATTGGATGAGTTTAACACAGATCGGACTGTTAAAAATCCCCTTTCTTGTTTACCTCAAATGAGTTAACAGTCTCTCGCATATCAACATCACTACCAATGCGTCTTCCTTTCCATCGCTCGGCATTGCTACGACCCGAGTAACGCCAGTACAGCTTGATATGAAGTTGAAAGCCAGCTGCAAGTTTTACTAACAGCAAATTGGCGGCCTATGACATACGTTTTGACCAAGAGGGGTCTTTCCAATCAGTTCTTGGGCACAATATACTCGTTGTCTATGATCAAAGAATACCAGGTACACTCAGAAACTTCGAAGCTACCCGATTCAACACTAGCCACCATGACCGGCGAAGCTCACCCAAGTCTTTAAATTCCCTCACAACCTTATAACATGACTCATTGAATGTGCTGGGTTGTCATCCCCTTATGCATGTCTCTACAGACCAGTTCCCACTGACCACTCGGAGACCACGAAGATGCCGGCTCTCAGCCATTTAACTCAGCAACGAGTCTACGTCAATCTCTCAGCCTTTAATCATTGAGTAAGAAAGTCTAGAGTAGAGATCGAGGTCCATTCGGTGAAGGAAGAACGAAGGTCGCGGTCCACACTAACCTCGAGTAGTCACTATACAGCTACGAAGCAACCACTAGCAGTTTGGCAGAGATTCTAAGGAAGCTTGAAGAGTAGTTGAGTGGCTTCGCTGGTATGGCGATAAGATGAAGGTAAGTAAGGGCAGGCATTCACGAAGCAGAGAAGGGACTCGATGACAGTCTCGGTGATTGAGGTGACAGCGATGAGATGCTTAATAACTAGACCCAGAACGACATCTTGGAGACGTTGAGGAGCGAGGAGGCCTTCTGATACAGGAGCCAAGGCACGCACGACTCATAAAGTAACGTCAACGTCAGGTATATTTTACTCGTACAGCTGGGGTTGTGACAACTTACTCGAGCCACAATGCTGAATAACAGATTGCGAGATACTCTATCCGGAGTAGTGTAAGTGGAAGAGCTTAACCATTGGCCTTGAAGAAAACAATAATTGACAATTCTGTATAAACTCAGCGGGCTATTTGGTTAGACAGAGCCAAGTGTCTAATGTCTTCCGACACCCGAGGCCACGGTGAGTCCATCTCCATTTGGGATCAAACTTGGCAGCGATGATCCAAGACATGCTCGGCAGACTCTGATCGCTAAACGAGACCCAGACCGTCTAGTGAGAAGTTGGCCTGGCCTAGTCCTCGCTTCTCGCTCAACTGACTCAGTCAACACTCGCTTAAGAGACATTTTCTGCACCATCGAATCAGATCATTCTAGCTGAACTGTCTCTGAATGACATCTCAAGTGGATAAAACAATTAATTAGACTCGTTTACGGAGTATACGAACGAGTCCCCATTCTTTTTGACGTGTCGTGATTAGCCTGATTAGCCCGTTATCGCAGCACAAATTTGCCCAAAGTCGATCTCGTCCCATATTTTTCTTGCTGTGGGCGAGATAGATTAAAACCCGGGGCGTCTTCAGGGGATCCTTGTTCAGCTGATGAAACAGGTTCTGTGACCGGCAACCTCGTTCCTTGTCTCGGTTCGTGTTATCATTCTGTCTCTTCTATCGTGACAATTTTTTACTTCTTTGTTTACTTTCTTTCCCTCAACATCATCATCAAAATGCACAGCCCTACTACACTTCTACTCATCGCTGCTACTACAGTCAGTGCCATTGGCATACGCGACGACTGTAAAGACGTGCACATCTTTCTTGCAAAGGGCAACAATGAACCCTACCCAGGACGACAGGGAAAACTCGCCGGTGCCATCTGCAGTGGCTTAAAGAGCTGCGACTATGAGGATATCCAGTTCCAGAACGCTCTTGAAGACCCGTTCTGCGATTCTGTCACGGAGGGCGTCAAGAATGGTATCAAGCAGATCACAGCGTACAACAAGAAATGCCCAGACTCCAAACTCGTCGTGAGCGGCTACTCACAGGGCGGCCAGGTCGTCGGCGACATCCTCGGCGGCGGAGGCGGCGTGTTCTTCCAGAACTGCGTGGAGCCTGATCTCCAGGGCCTGAGTCCAAAGACACTACCGGGGAGCAAGATTGTCGCGGCGATGGTGTTTGGGGATACGCGACATACCAAGGATCAGCCTTACAATGTGCTCTCTGGCAAGGGAAAGGATGGACTGTTTCCTAGACCGGCGGGCATGTTGGAGAATCTGGCGAGTTATGGGGATGTGTTTAGGAATTACTGTGTTGAGACGGATCCAATTTGTGCAAAGGGTGATGAGGTCGAGACGCATCTTAATTACTTTGATGTGTTTACTGATGATGTTGCGGAGTGGGTGAAGGAGAGGGTTGGAGAGGATACGACTACCACGACGGCTGCGACAAAGACGAGTACAAAGGCGAAGAGTACAGCCAAGGAGACGAGTACAAAGGAGGAGGTTGAGTCAACCACTGAAGCTGCGTCAACAATAAAGGATGCTTCAACAGTCTCAACAACAAAGGACACTACCACTACCACCGCTGCTGCGTCCACCACGGTCGATCCAAGCTCTACCACAGACGCAACCTTAGCCGAAGGTCGAGCTACAGCTGGTGAAGCATCATCAGATGCCGCTGCGCCATCATCAACAGACAACGCAGCCACGTCAAAGGGCGCATCTCTAATGGGCATGATAATCGGCGTCGCAGCTCTTTTGGCAATCTAATGCATATAAAAAGCGATAGACATTTGCAATTGGATATAGAAGACGAGTAATTATAATAATAAATCTCTAATTATTATCTCCATGCTATGATATACTGAGCTGTTGCTGTTGTTGCGGTGTATGCACGTTGTAAAGTCAATTGAGCTTCACGTCGTCATGACCAATCGCCCTCTCCGAAAGCGGACCCCATCACCGCTCCCGTCTTCACCTCAACATCATCACTTACAGTTGCAATGGCTCCTACTATTGTGCTCATCCGCCACGCTCAGGCTCTTCACAATGTAGCTCATAAGTCTCCCTTTACACAATCTCTAGAACATCACTGACAATGTGTACAAGAATGGTCACTGCCTGATCCTCCGCTCACGGAAAAGGGCGAAGAGCAATGCGCTCTCCTAAGAGAGAACCTCATCTCTACATTCTCGGATAAGATTGATAATGTAGACGATGTAGCTATCGTTGTCAGCCCCATGCGGCGTACGATGCAGACTGCTACGCTTGCGTTGGGCTGGCTTGTTGAGCGGGGTGTTAAGATTGAGGGCAACGCAGACTGGCAGGGTAATTCCCCAATCCTCCCCTCTCACACCCAAACTCACTCACGATTATTAGAAAACTCTTCAAAGCCTTGTGACACAGGAAGTCCCCTCTCCTCCGTCTCTCCATCCTTCCCAAAGGTAAACCTCTCCTCCGTCGATCCCCTCTGGCCAGACAAGACATCCCCATCCGCAGAGCGATACTGGTACACCAAGAAATCCATCCTCGCTCGCGGTCAGCGCGCACTAGAGGATCTGAAGAAAAGACCTGAGAAGCTCATCTTTGTGGTATCGCACGCTGGGTTCCTGAGATTGGGCGTTGCGGGATATTGGTTCTTTAATAGTGATTATCGTGTCTTTGACTTTGAGGACGAGGGGATTAAACAACGGGAGGCGACGGCCGCGGGAGGTATGGGCTTGTCGTTTACGGAGCCGGTTGAGCTGGGGCTTGATTTGCCGGAGGAGGATCCGGGGTATGATGCTGAGGTCAAGGTGTAGATGGAATGTGCTCTTGGTGTTGAGTCAAAGGCCTTCACGTAGATCATATACATGGACTCGAGTCATAGAACGGTTCATCTTTTATCTATCATCCAGTCATGATGTTACACTATAGTACACTATATCCAAGACTCATCTCGACATGAAGCTCTGGAAAGCCGACTGATCAATAATGACATTGCCCACAGCACGTAACCTCTTCCTACCCTCCTTTTGTTTCTCGAGCAGCTTTCTTCTTCTCGATACATCAGCAGCATGTAACTTGGCAAGAACATCCTTACGGAAGGGCTTGATGGTTTCTCGCGCTACGATTCGATTACCTGCTGTAGCTTGGATCACGACCTCTGTAGAAGAGCATCAGTACTGAGCCTAGGGTGAGCTTGGGAAGGGAAAGACGTACCGAAATGTTGACGATCAACATGCTCCTTGAACTTGGTAACCCACTGTCTTCCAAGCCTGTCAACCTGCGATGAATGAACGACCTTGCAGATCGCATCGACAGGCTGTCTGTTCACCAACAGCTGCAGCTTGACGAGGTTACTCTCCCGCCAACCTGCATCTTCATAATCCAGCGTCGCATATCCCTTGCTACAAACACATTAGCACAATCTCAAAACACCTGAGATACAAACATACGTTACGCTCTTGAGCTTGCCAAACAAGTCATCGACTAATTGAGCCGTTGGGATCTCATATTGTAGAATAACCTGTGTTGTATGGAAGAACTCTAGACTCTTTTGTTCTCCACGATTCGCTTCGCATAGCTCAATCACACGGCCGAGATATTCCTCTGGCATGGTGACTGTAGCAGTGACATATCTAGCAGATACAATCAGTAACGCTCAACACAATAATCTCGACAGACTTACGGCTCGAATAGCTGCGACTGCTTCACCTTGGGATTGCTCGTCTCCGGAAACAGCGCCGGATTCGACACTATCTCCTCCGACCCATCAGGCCAAATAATCTTCGACGGCACAGTTGGCTCCGTCAAAATAACACTCTTGCCATGTTCCTGCCTCAACCGATCCTGGAACACAGAACAGTGCAGACTCCCCAAGAACCCTAAGCGCCAGCCCGCACCGAGCGCTTCAGAGTGATCCTTCTGCAGCGTCACACTTCGGTCGTTAAGCACGAGCTGCCCAATACTATCTGCCAGACGGCTGTAATCGCTCTGGTCAGTGGGGAACGCTGCCACGAAGACCATGGGCTTGGGCTCCTCGAAGCCAGGATACGGCTCGACTTTTTCTTCGGACCCGACGAATGTGAATGTGTCGCCCAGTTTGGCGTCTTGAATCTTCTTCATGCCCGGGTTGAAGTACACGTAGCCGACTTGTCCTGCGCTGAGAGTCGCCTGGGGTATGGCATGCGGGTACTGAATGCCAACCTGTCCAACAGTGTACTTCATCCCCGTCCCCAAAGAAACAACATTATCGCCTGCTTTGATCGTGCCGTCGAATAACCGCACCAGCAGCACTACACCGCGGAAGTTATCGTACCATGAGTCCACCAACATCATCTTGAGCGGCTTCTTCTCGTCTCCAACAGGATGAGGGATCCTCTCAATCACAGCGGGCAAAACATCCGGTACGCCCTTTCCCGTCTTCGCGCTCAGCATAATAGCGTCTTTGGGATCAAGCTCAAAACTGTCCTTCATCTGCTGTAGCACCCGCGGTACATCTGCAGCCGGCATGTCAATCTTGTTGACCACTGGAACAAGAGCCAGATCCTGCGCAAACGCGAGATGGAAGTTTGACACAGTCTGTGCCTGAATACCCTGCGATGCATCCACGAGAAGCAATGCTCCACCACAACTAGCATACGATCTCGTAACTTCAGCTCTAAAGTCCACATGCCCTGGTGTATCAACCAAATGAAGCAGATAATCTTGCCCGTTGTGCTTGTGAATCATAGTACACGTCTGCGCCTTGACGGTAATACCTCGCTCCCGCTCAACATCGAGCTTATCCAGAATCTGCTTATTCGCATCGCTAGCAGATATCGTACCAGTATACTCCAACAGCCGATCACTCAGCGTACTCTTCCCATGATCGATATGCGCCACGATACAGAAATTACGGTACCGTTCGATGGGGATGGCGGCAATTCGGGCTTCGAGTTCAGCGGGCGTAGGCTTCGCAGCGTATCGGCGGAGGTTTGCGTATACCCTCGGTGTGAGGAAGCTGGGCGCTTGTGAGAGGCATCGCCGACTCCAGGCACGGCCAGCGCTCCAAGCCAGGCTCATCTAGACTTTTCTAGGGCGCATTTGGCCAAGGTTTTGAGGTAGGCGGTGGTTCAGGCCAATTCAATGGCTGAGGGAGAGTCAATGGTGGAGTCGTTGAGGCGCAATTCGAGATTGAAGATTTCCCCATGATGCACGAAATCCTTCTGAAGTGGTAGAGGTACGTACCCGTGTGCTCGTCCCGCACTCCATTTCCGTGATATTGCCGGATAGCATCTTAAGATTTCGGATTCAGAAATAAACATACTCACAATTGTTACTTCGGAAATATTTAGCAGAAAACTCATAGACTTAAAAGTAAGGTTAAGTCCTTGGTCATTAACAAGCTGTCTACTCAAACACAAGCCATAGTGCAGGACACACAAAACACCAACTGCACACATCACCAAATTGTATGCCTGCCCGTCAATACACACTTCCAAAGGGACCTATCACAATGCTATTCATCCAATCCCATTTCATAAAACTAATCTTCAACAGTGAAACATATAGATCGCTTGGGTATCGAGCCTTTTTCCCGTCACGCGGGATACATCTAAGTACTTGGCCAACAAGAAAACCGAATGCATCACGCCTTGCCCATGCATTATAACGACCCATTCGTTCCATCCCATTTCATTCCCATTCCAAAAGTTCAAGTTTGTTCCGTCTCCATCGTTCCAAGGTTCATGCTTCTGCATCGCAGGTTCATCCATCTCTTGTGGTGCAAGTGCTTCGTACGTACGGAGTCCAGTCCATCTCCCGTCCCAATCATGTCAGAACCCATTCACTACCGCGCTTGAGATACTTGTCTAGCAACAATCCCAGATCCGACAGAACAAATCGACACACGTAGAACCCAAAGAACTCCGCTGCATGTCGTGTGCATAATTCAAGACCAACCTGTGTCTTGTCGGCGTGTCGCAATCCAGGATCCTCGACTTGTCTGGCTATTTGATCTACTTCCGGTTAGCATACTAAGTATAATCTAGGGCTGGTGAGCTTACCAATGGCTTGAGCTGCATCAAACAAGCGTGCCAATGAGCTCATGTACATTGCGTTCGGACCTGTGAATTGGACCTGTGCCAGATCCCGCTTGGGGGGACGGTTCGTTGGGGTAGGCGTCATTGGCAGACTGGCAATGCTGGGTATATCTTTAGACGTTTCCGTGTTAACACGGCTCATGTAAGAGCCGCCGAGTCCGACTGCGGAGTTCTTCGAACGAAGACGTCGCCATGAGAAGGAGGATTTCCCAGAAACACTCGCTGATCGCGGCACGCCTGCAGCGGCATCCCCATCGCCGGTGGATGCGTCCTTGAACAGTGCCCCAGACCCATGGACACCAACTTCATTGCCAAGCTTGCGACTCAATGCTGTTTGGACTTGTTCTAGAATTCCCTCCAGGGATTGCATCTCTTCCAAGACTGCATCGGCATCATAGGTATCCACTCTCGCAATCTTGAGTAAAGCGGCTGTGAGGAAATCGCAGTTGGCCACCTTGTCTTCGATGTTCTTGAGCTTCACTCCCTTCACCCTCCAAACATCTCTAGAAACAAAGAGCTTGCTGCTGATGTAACCGCCACGTGGGTGAGCCAATGTCTGGTAAAGACATCGCATCAGCCAGAAAGGTCGCAGCATAAAGTCAGTAGGGCAGGGCTCAAGAGGAGCCGGAGGATCAGAGATGAGTGGGTTAGGCGAGCCAGGGCTTGTTGGGGAATAGAAATGATCATCGAACAATGACAGCCCAGCCGCGTTTGTTTCCGATCGCTCGCGGAAGCTCGTGGCAAGAGGTGTAGGCAGAGCTGGGACTGATGGAGCATTGAGAGATCCAAAAGGGTTACTTCCTGGGGTTCCAGGAGATAAATCCGAGCCTTCTTCAAGATGTGTCAATGACATATTGCGACTCTTCATACTTCGAAGACTCGAGGACGAAAAGTTCTTCCTCAGTTTTCGTGTATTCGGAGAGCCAGTGATGTCGTCATCGCCCTTCTCTGAACCCAACTGTCCAAACGGCGATGGTGTAGGCCGAGATCCTGTCATATCCGTCGGGCTGGCTTCGAACAAGGGTGGTGAGGGTTGTCTATGATTCGCACTCGCGGCCTTCGTATCCGGCTCAACTGTGGCGTCAACGTTCTGACTGCTCAGAGGAGCAGACTTGGCCTGGTTGGCATCGGCATAACTCTGCATAGGAAGAGCGAGTTTCGAGGTTTCGATCTTGAGCTGCTTCGGATTCTGTCCTGACAGTCGTCTATTTCGCACACTTTGAGCAGAAGATCCAGGTCGTTGAGGTAGTTCAGGTAAAGACTGTGTCGGTGGAGGGGCAGCTGGGCCCTGGGTAAGATGCGTTAGAGGTGGTGGTAATTCTGTAACAGTAGAGAGCGAAGTGGCTCCCGTTGGGGGATTCGATCCTTGTGAGCTGTGCCATGTACGTGAGGTTACGCCGCTGGAGTCAGACTCTCGGGGCGGTGGTGGGCGATGTCTATATGATTCGAGACCGTAATCTCGAGCAATCTCATCCAAAATCCTCTCTTCTTCGTCGGATGAGTTATCGTTATAAAAGTCGTTGGGTGTCCCTTGGTACTCATAAGACTGGTATTGCTGTTGAGAATGGTTATCCCTCTCCATCTCATAAAGCTCTTGCTCAGTCTCTCTAACTTTTTGACGAGCAAGTTCAACCTTGCGCATAGCATTGGCTACTACTTCCTCGCCAGCATCCACTGACACCATTCGTCTGTGGTCCATTGGACTCATTGGCTCATACCCATCATCATAGGCGGCC